GGAACTAAATAGAAAAGTGCAATTGTAATGGTTAATGTAATTATAATGGGTTAGATAAATATTCTCCTGTAAAATAGCTTCCAATAAAAATATGGGTTTGCTATGAAGATGTGATGTTATTCACATACCTAATAGGCAAGGCATAGAAAAAGTACCTTACTGGATCGCTGTGTTCAGGTGGGCAGCTGAGACAAAGAAAATTAAAGAGCCAGAGCAAAAGATGTGGAAAAACATCCTGATTTCCACGGTGCTGTCATGTATGGCTCACAGTCTGAGTGTTTTCTCCAAGGTCACACAGAAAATCATACAGGTCTCCTGAATCCCACTTTAGTGCTTTAGCCACAGAGTTATCCTTCCTTGCACAAGTAAAGATTAGGCCCTGGCCTTGGACAAAAACCAAACTGTCCCAGTAACCAAAATGATGTCAACACAGATATTCAGAAAGAAGAGTTGGAGGGTGTTTGTTTCTGCTCTTGCATCTAGCAACTACTGTGTTTGTGGTTCAGCTGAGCAGGAAGTTCTGGGTGGAGCAGACCCAAATGCTGGTTGGTTCTTGCCTGAGTTCATTCCCTTTCAGTAATGCTTTATACCACTTTATGCTACAACAAGGCAGTTTTCTCCATGGGAACCCTGTGACAGGACTACATTTCACATAAGGCTGGGAATGAAATTTAAGCACTGACAGATTGCCATGGAGTGTTGGGCCCCATGGCATTGTAGCTGTTGAGGGGAGGGGGTCAGCTGTGTGATGAGAATCAGAGAGTGGAATGGGCATTGGATGGGAAGATGAATCGTATTCAATATACAACTTTGACTTGGTCTGAGTTTACTAGGTTGCTGCTGGAAAGATTTTAGGAGATTAGGGGAAGACTGATAATGTAATTTGATAGACTGAGCTCTCCTGATGAGAGGAGGTGGGAGTGCCTTGGGGAGGCAAAGGGGAAGATGGCATGAACCTATTACAGCTTAGTGCTGAAAGGCACTTGAAACCGATTCTGATTACCCACCGCGTATTTCCTTTCTTATGAACAAGCAGTGCTGGCCAGGAGGGAGGGTGGTTGCAAAGTTTCAAGACAGATTCTCTGCGCTGTACTCAGGCAAAAAGTGAAGCCACTGCGTTACTTTCAGGATTACTCTATTCTTAGCATCCCAGCGTGTGTTCACCCCCCACATACCACTGCCTAAATATAGACCCTACTGAAGGACAGATGCTGCCAAGTTGCATCTGACCCCCTCTTCTCTTGCATTCTGTTCCCAAAAGCTAGGCTGAATTCTGTTCCTGAACTCCCCTGAGACACATCCAATAGTCAGCATGTCCTTTTGTCTCCCCGGGGCTGTACAAGGAAACTTGTACTGTACTGTTAAAGCCTGATCCCAGCCCTGGCCTTCCTGGCCTCTCCTAGCACTGGTCTTCCCTTCAACACCTTTTCTTCTTCCTTTCCTCCTCATTTGTTGCCTTCACCCTTTTCTTTTTTTCCACTCAGCTGCCTCTGTTCTTTCCCTCATGTCTGATTCAATATGACCAATGAGAGGAAGAGGGAAAAGTAAATGAAAGAAAACATGCACGTGTATGTGCATGTACCTAGGTGCTGCAGACACCCAAACCTCTCTGATGAGCTGTTTTGTCACAACAGAAGTCCTGCTGAGAGGGCAGTGAGCTGGGCAATCTTCTGAGTAAATGTGTTTCATTACTTTATAGTTCTAGTTTTCCACACTGATTTCTCTTTCCAGTAGCATAAATCAGTTAGGTCCTGAAACTGGGATTCCCTAAACCCAGCTGAAATCTAAACAGGACATTCCACCCATGTGAGCCAAGGTGTGCCATGGTGGAGTGTGCCCACTGAGGCACAGAGTGGAAAGTGTAACAGGCAATTAGTTACAAGAAGTTCGAAGAATTTGTGGGGTTCTGCCCCCAAAGCAGTGGTCAGTCCTCACAGTATGTGCTAGAAGGTCTGGCAGCACAATCCCCCAGGGCCAGGTCTGGGGCTAGCCCTGACCACTTGTCAGAGTTCCTCAGTGCTGCCTCTCACACGAAAAAGCTCTCCAGGGATCTGCTACAGGAAGCAGAGAGGATTTCTCTTTGCCACTTTTTCCATCCTTTCCCATGTCTTTAGAACAGGTGCTGGGTGACACGTTCCAACCTGTCTGCAGCCTAGGCAGAAGCTCCCTGTTAGCGACGCTTCATGTGGCTCACCGGGTGCCCAGGAGAGGGCATCTTTTGGACATAGGGAGCAAGTGGCTCAGCCTCAGGGCAGCCTGACCTTCAGGGTGAGCAGCGAGCCTAGCTTTCAGACTGGGCAGCCACCCTGGCCTGGGGCCTCAAAGGCTCGGTGCTGCCCTCCCTGTGAGCGAGACGTGACGGCTGCGGGTTGTCAGTAAGGGTCCCCAGTCATACAAAAACTGGCAGGTTTGTGCTGGTCTCTATCCAGAGGCTCTCCAGCCTCCAGCATACTGCACCCTGTTGTCATGGTTGCGGATTAAGTCTTGTCCTTTCTGTATGACGTGTTTTCTTCCTTCTCTCCCTGTACAATCCTCTACTGCCTTTAACGCCTATGCTTTCCTCCTTGGCAAATGCAGTGGGGTAGGGGTTTGTCATTAAAATGAAGCTCTGAATAGTTTGTTTCCCTCTGCCTCTGGGAAGCAGATTCATAAACTTCCAGGGAGGGGTTTATAAACCTGTGAGAGATTTGTTGGTCAGGTACATTTACATGCTGTTTTCAGACTCTGTATGTCTCTTCCTGAGCTGAAAGAGACCTGATCCTGTTTGCCCAAAGAGGAATGGAGACAGGGAGAAGTCCCCTCCTGGATTATAGAGCTAGTTTGCAGGCTTCTACAACAGCACTGAAGTAACTATAGTTGCTTTAGAGCGTGGGCCTTCTGCCACCTGCAGCACTGTGGGACCAGAGAATTGCAGGAAGTCTCTGCTCTGAGAGGTCACCAGCCCACATCCAGTTAGTTTCAGTGAGCATGGAGGAGTATGATGGGATGTGAGGAACACTCTGAGCACCTGCTGGCAGCCTTTAACCCCCGGTCTCCTCACTCCGTAATTGGGAGAGACACTTGGCAAGTGTGTTCCCATCCAGTGCTGAGCACCAAGCACTTGGCCGTGGAGCAGCAGTTGGCCTTTTGGGGAATACCAGAAGGAGACCCTCCTTCTAACCTCTCTGAAAGTTCCTCTCTGCCTTAGCTGCTGTGTCGGTAGGCAGCACGGGAAAATGTGTCTGCTATCTCTTCTTAGTTAACAGCTGCACCTTGAGGGAGTATCAGGAAGCAGCGTTTATACTGTAACAGCAGAAAAGTGGTTCTTCAGCAATAGTTCATTACAGACCCACATGTTCTCATTCCAGGCTTATATTAACAAGGAGGGAGGTAAAGGACTAAAATGACAGAGGCTGATGGATGTGGCAGCTGGGATGAGCCAGTCCCTATTTTAAGCATGCAGGCAAAATTTGGGGTCAAGCTGGAGAGGCTACAGGGTGATAAATTGCCAGTGAACACACAAACAACATGGACCATAGCCCCCCTCTTTCCACCTCCTTCCCCAACACCTTTCAGTCCTGCTGACAGGCTGACCTAGGAGGAGTCCTGCTCTTGCCTGCTCAATACAAGCCAGCAGGGCTGAGCCCTGGGCATGCACACACCCTATGGGTGCAGAGGGCCTGGGCCCTGAGACCAGCCAGCCATGCCACCGGACCTCCTCAGGGCTCTAGCTCTCTCCTTTCCTGCTCCTCTCCTGCCCCTGCAAGATCAATGACAGGGCAGCAATCCTCTCACATCCACTTCTCTTTCCTGGGGCTGCCATGGGAGTGCGGGCAAAGTAACTTGTGCAATTTTATAGCTGAGTCTTGTTGCTTGAGCAGCAAGGCTATAAGATATGAGAGAAGGTGCCCTACTGTGTATTAGCTCTCTGCAGAGATTTGCCATGGTTTGTTCACTGCACCTTCTGCTAAACATCTCTGCACTGATTTGTCTCTTGCTTAACTGCAAGATCTGAAGAAATATTCTAGAAGCATCTACAAATCCAGCGTATTACTACCTGGTGCCTGATTTGCCTTGACCCAGTGTTTTTGCCCGGCTATTCTTTTATGTGCAAAATGAGTGCATTATGTGTGCCAAGCTGTCCTACAAGACTACCCCATTGCTTGCCTGTATGGGAGAGCTCTGTGGTTTTGGGTGGAATGGGCATTTGCTTTTCTTGCTTGCTCTAACAGGAAGGCTAGGCTGAGTTGGGAGGTTCAGTGAGAAGTTTAACTGATGGATGATGGAACAAAAGGGAGAGGAAACACTTGGTGTAAGATGGCCATGAGAGGCCAGATCTAGGAACTAGCCTGGAACTAGAGACCCACACTCCATTCTCAGATATAGCAATGCATATCCTGCACAGCTCCTGTTAAGGCTAAAGATTTACTCCAAGTTTACACTTGTGTAACAGGACACAATACAGCCTGATGCAGATGTCCAGAAATACGTTAGCCAAAGCCATTAGAGCAGACAGCAGGAAGTGCCTCTGAGCCACCATCTCTTACGATGTCAGCTTCCCCGAGGGTGGTACCTGCAGGGGCTCTGTGTGAATGTCAGGGATCAGGAAGAACAGCAGGGGCATACAGAAGGACACACAGGGGTAGTCTGGATAGAGTTCCCATTCCCTGTCTGAAACAAAGACTTCATAAGCAATTTAGTAGATAGGGAATGAGAAGAGAAGAGCATGTAGATGATCTTGAGTCTTTCATCTGCACTGAAGGACCTGAATTAGTGGGTGTTCAGGTCAGGCCTATGCTCAACAGAGTGACCCTTGGAATTAACAGGAATACAGAGACCAAAAGGCACAACCAGGGCTTACCCAAAAGGACTGGTCCTCTACCCTGGCAGCACAGTAGTCTTAGGCCTTATTTTATTCTGTCAGGGACAGCGCAATAAAAGGGCCAGCAGGAGACAAGCGACTGAACTATATAGCTGCTGTTCTTCCCTTCATCCTTACCCTCTCTCTTCTGCTTTTCCAGATCCGAAAGAGAAGCAAAGCATGCCGTGGAGGCCTGTGGGAAAACGATGTGCTAGTGTCTATCAATGGAAAGTCATGTGCTGGCCTCTCACATGCTACTGCCATGCAGATCATCGATTCCTCCAACGGCATGCTCAACATCCGTGTGAAAAGGTAACCTGCTCCCAAGTGCCAGTCCTGTGACAGTGCAGGCAGCAGGACACCTTCATCCAGCACAGCAGCTATCCACACTTAGCAGAAAGAAGGCAGGCAGGAAGCCTGCAAGGTGTACTAGGAGCACTTCCCCATGGCTAACAGGTGGCCATCCAAAAGTCTTGCACTGTCTCTAGCTGCTCTCCCGAGTGCCTGGCTCTGGGGATGAACTGACCGAGACCTCCCTGCCCCTGCCTCTCAGGCTGGAGGGAAATGTTTGCAGTGTGAGGGCTGTGCTGCAAAGAATGATAAATTTAGGCTCCAAGCAAGCAGATGCAATAGGGCAGTTCATCTCAGCAATTAACAAAGACTTCAGTTCATTCTGGGTAAATAACTGTTCTGTAGAAATAGATCTGACTACACATTGGATAATTGAGCCAAGACAAGGTTACCTAAGTATTTACTACAGCAGGCCGTTGTAGTCTGACAAGGTGTGAACTGACTTCCACAAAGTTAAGATATGTGTGGCTGAGTGCCCTTTTACAGGAACAAGTATCTGTCAGACTGTAGTCCATCAGAATACTGGAGACCAGGCTCAAATTTAAGCACAAAAGTTCTTCCAGTAACGCCCCTGGTTCTGCCTCTGCTAAGCTAACCCAGCACCTCAGTGCATGCTGGATGAGGTCCAAGCTGTAAATGCATCATATAAAGATGAAGGCAGCAAAGCTGTGTGAGGTCCCAACTAGTCCACACTACTGACGAAACAAAAGTCACCCTCAGGAAATAAGGCCCTGGTGAAGGGGGCTGGGAGATGTGATTTTCTACAGCCCTGAGAAGAGAGACCACCATGAGCAGTAGGGAGGAAGAGCCACGCTAGTTGCTGGCATCTGTCAAGTGGGGGCAGAGGCGGGCAGTGCTCAGAGGAGGAAAGCCTGAGCATGCAGGATCTTCCCCTTGGCTTCAGGGAAAGTGCCGGTGCCTTCTGATGTGCTCACCCTATGCCATAGCAGTGATTAAGTGGGATGAGTGAGCCCTGCACAAGGTGTCTAGAATAGTTTCTGGTCCCTTGCCAAGGCCTTATCTCACCCCGTTGGAGCCTATCTGCAGCCAACAGGTGCCTGGGCAAATTCCAATTGGCCAAAATCAGCACACTTTGAATTAGCAAAGTGACAAAGGCAGGCTTCTTGCAGCCCTCTGGGAGCCAACAGCGGATGGTTTGGAAATAACGTAACCACTTGGCTTCATCTTGGGGTAGTGGAGAACTCATCAAATATTGCTTTCTGATCACATCTCTATTTCCACTTCATATTTATGTTCCCAGAGAAAACACCATTCAGTCCTGCTCAGGAAGGAGAGGTAGCTGGATGACTCTGGAGTATGCAAGGTCATATGTGTACTTCTGTCAGTGCAGCCTATGTGTGAAAAGAGACAGAGAGAAAGGAGGGAAGGACAGAGATTGTGGCCTGACAGTGCAGAACAAGAGAAGCTGGCTTACAAGCAGCAATGCTTTCCAGTTATCTGGTCGAATATTTAAAGAAGAGGAAGTACTGCTCTGTTTTGCTTGGGGAGCTTTGATTTTGCTCCCCACTGAGAGTTCATAATAGCGAATATTATTAAAAAAATAAACTGCCAGAGAAATTGTCCCACCCTTAGCTTCCACAAAGGTTTGCATTTGACATAAGTATATTTTTCACAGTTTAGAATTGGGATCCAAGTTATGAATTCCACAGCTTTACAGAGGCAATGCTGTCTGCCTGGCTTCCCAGTATGCATGCTCAGAGGGCAAAAACTTAGGGCTCCTTTATAACTCTAACAAGCCCTAGTGACTCTGGCAAAGGAAGGAAGAAGTTCCCTGCCCTATCTGTGTGGTCTGGAGTCAAACTGCCATTGAAATCCAGACTTACTCTTGAGGAGAGGGTGGACAGAGCTGGCTCTTTTCCCATCAGCGTAGCCAGTTCTCCCTCCCTCTGGCAGTCAGCAATGGAGCTGATGGCCCCAGTCTGCCCTGCCCCTACTCTAGTCACCCTTCCAGCTGACTTCCAGGCTAGAAGTTGCTATGTCTAAGCCAAAGGTGAATGCCACCATGGATTGGGCTGGCTGACATGACTGCAGTAGTTGTCAAAACCCAGGCACTGGTAGCTAGCTTGCAAAGTAGTCCCACAGTGAGCAGGCCACACATCAGGGTGGACTCCTATCACAGGACAGCAGAGTTCTACTCCAAAAAAACACTTGGGCCTGTTCCTTCTAAATATTTGCTGTTTACTCCCACATGGAGGTCAGGGCAAACAAACAGCACCAACTTCTTTGTTTGGAGCTCACTCCGAACTAAAGGAGTTCGGAGGTGCTGGGATTGGCAGAGCCGTCCTGCCCCCGCCCCTGCCCTGTCCCCGTTGTCCCGTGCCCATCGTCCCCCATCCCCTCAGCAAGCCGCAGGCTGCAGGGGTATGTCCCACTGTCCTGGGGAATGTTTGCTATGCAGGAATTCACCTCCCCGGGAGAAATGCCTGGGGAGCTGATTAAGCTGCCTCGGTAGATTTTTATGCTCTCAGGACATTCTGGTTTTCAAGTGTTTAACACCTGGTTTTCAAAGAGTCATGAAGCAGAAAATCAGGATGAGAGCATGTAGCTGATGTGAGAGATGAGACTGCCCTTAGTGTCTGCACTTCAGGTGTCTGTACTATCTGAGAGACACCTGAAACACTGACTCAGTCCTTACCCCTCTCTCACATGTCAGGGCTTCCTTCCAGCTCAGCCCCACCAAGCAGACCTTGCTCACTGCTTTTCCTTCTCCCCACAGGATAGTTGGTGGGGACCAGACCGGCCCATGGCTCCAGCGCTCCCCTTCTCCAGGGCAGCGAGTGCTCTCCCCACCAGCTCCACTCAGCCCCCCAGCACAGCTACTCAGCCCTGAACCGGCAGGAGCCCCAGCCACCACACAGCCCTCACAGCCAAGAAGGTCACAGAGGCACCTGGAGAGCCTCACCTCTCCGCCAGACAGTGAGGCCTACTATGGCGAGACAGACAGCGATGCTGACAACATGGCCCAGGAGAAGCATCGCCGGGCTCGCAAGAAGAGCCCGCGCTCCCCACCTGAGAGCACCAACAGCAAGGCGGATGCACCTCAGGATGAGGTGTCCCTGTCTGAGCAGAGCGGCTACGAGAGCATGCCAGAGGCTGCTGCACAGGAGGGAGCCGAGGTTGCCAGCTCTGGCGGGGTGGCCAAGAGGGAGATTGCCTGCCCACCTGGCAGCCGCACAGACACTCCATTCTCAGAGAGCGAGGGACAGTTGCATCCACCATTGAAAGAGGGACGGCAGCCTTCTCCGGAGGCAATGCTCCTGCCCCATGCCACCAAGGCTATCCAAGCGGAACGCCATCTCATCCCCATGGTGGGGCCAGTGGAGCACCCAGTTGATGAAGACCTAACCACCACGTATGTGGAAAAAGCCAAGCAGGCCAGTAAGTACTTTGCACCCTGCCACTCACCCGTGCCCTCTTCCTACACTGGATCTCCTTCCAAAAGCTTAATTCCTGTGAATGTCAAGTAGGTTACCTCCTCTAGCTTGGGAAGAAGCAGAGTCAAGTCAGACCTCAGGGACTGGGGCTTCCTATTGCAGCTTTGGCTTGACTCACCCAAGATGTCCCAAGGAACAGAGATGAGAGAAAGGGTCTGGGATCTGGGAGTCACCCGTAGAAGCCGCAGCCACACAACCAGCTGTGCTCCAGTGCCTCCATGTGCTGGAAACAGGGTGGAGGTCATTGGTTTCTTCCCTGTTTTGGGCTGAAGAAGACTTAGGGGAAATTGTGGTGTCAGTAAAGAAGTTGGGATTTAAATTTCTCAGGCCTGGCTTTTCATAGATCTCACAGCAGCTCAGTTTCCTCGTTAGCTTGTGTGTCCAAGCACAGGGTGCTTGTTCCAAGGGGCCCCCAAGGAGCCCCCTGTTCTGCTCAGCTGTCCATGAACACAGAGACATGTAGTGTTACACACAATTAAGGACCGAGTAGAGATAACTTTTGGTCAGCATAGCCCTAAAAGAATGTTGTCAGTAGCTCATTTATTTCTCTTACCCTGTCAAGCTCTGGGACGGACTTGTCTACATCAACTTTTGAAGGATGTTTTCTCTGCAGGCACTTATTCCAGCAAGGGTGTCCATGTCTGGCAGCAGCTGCTGAGCTCTGGTAGAATTTATCTTTTTAGGTATCAGCAGTGGATGGCTGCCAGCAAGGAAATTCGGGAGATGGTAAATCAGCTGTTGGAATAGTTCCTTGTAGTGGCATCCCTACTTATCAAGACCTTTCCAGGTGGAATAAAAAGTACTGGAAAATATAGTGTAGTACCTGGGTGATAGGTCTGAAGTTACCTTAACTGTGAATATCTTTCCTGTTTTCTGCTACACATGGAGTCCGTCAAACCCAAATATCAAGGCAGAACAAGATATTACCTGATTTCGTAGTTGTGATCTATCCAATAATATTAAAAAAAAGGTAATAAAAAACTTGTTTTCATATGAGTACCTCAGTCTATGATTGACTAATTTACACTTCTCCGAGCCTAGAAATAAAGCAGGTTTTAAAAAGTGACTTATTTGGGGGACAGAATGGGAAACAGAAACACAGAAAAGTAACTAGACTGATTCAGAAATAAGGCACACAGATTCTAACTTCTGATTCTCTGCTCCAAATGCTAGACACTTTTCCCCAGGCCAGATAATCACAGAATCACAGAATGGTAGGGGTTGGAAGGGACCTCCGGAGATCACCTAGTCCAACCCACCTGCCAGAGCAGGTTCACCTACAGCAGGTTACATAGGAACGCATCCAGGCAAGTTTTGAATGAATCCAGGGACGGAGACTCCACAACCTCTCTGGGCAGCCTGTTCCAGTGCTCTGTCACCTTCAAAGGAAAGAAGTTCCTCCTCATGTTCAGGTGGAACCTCCTGTGTTCTTGTTTGTGCCCATTGCCCCTTGTCCTGTCGCTGGGCACCACGGAAAAGACTCTGGCCCCATCCTCTTGACACCTGCCCTTGAGACATTTATAAGCATTGGTAAGATCTCATCTCAGTCTTCTCCAGGCTAAGCAGACCCAGGTCTCTCAGCCTTTCCTCATATGAGAGATGCTCTAGTCCCCTCATCATCTTCGTAGCCCTCTGCTGGACTATCTTCAGTACTTCTGTGTCTCTCTTGAACTGGGGAGCCCAGAACTGGACACACTACTCCAGATGAGGCCTCACCGTGGCAGAGCAGAGGGGGAGAATAACCTGCCTCGACCTGCTGGCCACACTGTTCTTAATGTACCCCAGGATGCCATTGGCCTTCTTGGCCACAAGGGCATGTTGCTGGCTCATGGTTAACTTGCTGTCCACCAGGACTCCCAGGTCCTTCTCCACAGAGCTGCTTTCCAGCAGGTCAACCCCTACCCTGCACTTGTGCATGGGGTTATTCCTCCCTAGGTGCAGGACCCTACACTTGCCCTTGCTGAACTTCATTAGGTTCCTCCTCCACCCAACTCTCCAGCCTGTTCAGGTCTCGCTGAATGGCAGCACAGCCTTCTGGAGTGTCAGCCACTCTTCCCAGTTTTGTGTCATCAGCAAACTTGCTGAGGGTACACTCTGTCCCTTCATCCAGGTCTGTGATGAATATATTGAACAGGACTGGACCTAGTACTGACCGCTGGGGAACACCACTTGTTACGGACCTCCAACTAGACTCTGTGCCACTGACCACAACCCTCTGAGCTTTATCTTTCAGCCAATTTCCTATCCACCTGACTGCCCATTCATCTAACCCACACTTCCTAAGCTTGCCTATGAGGATGCCAGGCAATTGTTATGCCTCTCTTTTCTCTTTTTCTTGGGCTAAGCATTCCTTTATCTGTTCTGCCTGAGGGATCCTGTAAAGGTAACTTTTAAATCCACGCTGCTTCTGTCAGGTAGGGCACTGTCTTACTGCTCTGCCCTGTGTTAAGAGGACAGACTCAGTTGGGTCCTTTATGTCTGGCCCTGCTAGGCAGTACAGCTGACCTGCTGCCTTGTACTATTTCTTCCTAGTCTTTAGACTCACTTTCCTTAGGACAGCAAAGAAAGCAGCAATTTCAGCCTCCCTGAGGATGAAGCTATTTTTTCTCCCTTTGAATAATGTACAAGTATGAGGTGAATGTTGAGAAAGGCATGTTCAGCTGCTCCCTGCAACATGATAGTCCTAGCAGTGGATGAGCAATTGCTTTACATCAAGACTTATTTCCATGGACAACGTCAGTACAGAAGGCTTCCAGGAAAGCCATGTATTTCACGCAGAGCATTTCTGATGCAAAGTAATATCCCATGGCAGAAGGTGATGCAACTCAATTGCCAGCTAAGGTAGAGTTCCCAGAAGCACTGCAGACTGAAATAATATTTTATTCTCCTGCTACCCCTCCACCATTCACCCCCCTTCTGGTTTATGTTTGGCCATGGGTGTCGTTACGTATGAGTTACTCTGCCATGGATAACAACCCACACGGCCAGCTTGGCCTTTTTTTGGGTTAGGAATCTTGGCAGTAAATATGAAGGCAAAACTCTATGTCCCGATCATGCTGGAGCACAGCAGCCATTAAAACCAAAGTCATGACCAGCAGCCAGTAACTCTGTGAAGGAAGGAAGCAAGGAAGGAGGAGGGATGGAAGGTGCTCATTATGTGGTGAACAGAGCTAAGAAGCACCTATACCTGGAAAAAACACAAGAGGATGTGGGAGTGCTGAGCTGCACCAGCTCTGTGGGGAGGCTGCTTGCAGAGAAGCCATTGGCATGGGAGGCACATGGTACAGCATTTCTTGCCAGAAAGATGTAGCCTTGGCAAGGATGTTTGGGCTAGCACTGGTTCAACTCCTACAGCTGCTCCAGGCTCCCGTGGAGCCAGCAGAGGTTAAAGCTCTGTTTCTTGGCCTTTCCTTAGCAATACCCACAGCACAGTAGCCCAGTCTGGGGCACAAGAGACTCTTGGGTTTTGCTAAACAGGAATGCAAAATCAAGCTCATGGTTTAGAAGCTAGGCACACTTTTAAAATCTGAGTTAACTACAGCTTGGATAGTCAGTCACGGGAGCCTGGGGCTCGATATGTACACAGTACACATATAAGGACCATTTTGACTGCCTAATCAGATGTCTGCCTTTTGGAGCACTATCTATCTAAATATATTCCCAGTGCTCAGCACACCCTCCTTGCCATGGACTTCTCCATTATGGCTCCCACCACTGCACCATAAGAATGTCTTTTTGGTTTGTTGGGACTGTTACCTTTTCTTTCTAGAACGTACTCCCTTCTCATGCCTGCTCTGATGTTTTCTTCCATTTTGGGGGTATCTCTCTTGTCCTTTGTATTCATTCTTTCTAACTTTTCACTGTCATTTTTAAGCTACAGAGACTTTCCCCCTTTCCCACCTGTCCCTACACCTCAGGCAAACAGGATTGCAGATATTTTCAGATGAGTATGTAGAAACATCAAATTTCTAGATGAATAATTGAAATCCCTGTACAAGAACAGAGATACATAATAATTCTTTTGCACACCACTGAAAGTAGCAACTGACATTCTTCACAGCTCTATTGCCCTGCAAGGACTACTATTGCCTGTCAGCTCTTGGGTTTTCTCAAACGTAAGCTCTGTAGCTATGCTCTTTATTTCCTGTCTCTAGAGCTTTTGTAGACCTTTGTCTTCACTGCATGCTTTCCAGAGCTCTGAGCTTTCCAGATCATAGGCAAGTTGATTCAGCCCCCCTGCCTCCCCTTTTCTGTATGATTTTCCATTTTTTCTGATGTTATTAGCAAATCTGATCAGGGCTGACTGTATACTGTCCTCAAGGTCATCAGTGAGACTAGGAAATGCTTCCTATGTTCCTCCACCATCTTTTCTAGTCTCACCATGATGGATAATCAGTCTTTATGCTCTGATTGTTACCGATTCATTTTCTTTTAATTTTCATCTGATTGACATTTCTCCAGTACATGTATTTTTTTGCATCAACTCCACCAACTCCTGACAACTACAGCTGCTTTCCCTGCCTTTGCTAAGGGGATACAAATCACATGGCAATTGCCAGAGGTGACACTGCTGTCCGACGCCCGCTTTGCATCGCAGTAACACAGGACCAAATGAAGCTTACTTATTTACACTACACAAGGATTTGACTCCAGGAGCAGAACACAGTGTGGTGGCAAGTACTAACAGCCCGAGACAAGGATTTGGCAGTGGGTGGAGTGGGGCAAAATAAGCACAGGGAAGAGGGGCAGCAGCTGATGGTGCATCTCACGATGCCCTGCATGTTGTCAGCTGCTGAGCTATGTGTCTCCTTCCCCACCAAAGAGACAAGGCCTTAAGAGCTCCTTAAAGAAGCAACAGCCCTTGCAGTTAGGTTTGGGCCTGTCTTTTTCCAAAGTTCTTGCCCTATTTGCACATTAGTATTGGCTTGTTTTTTCCAATCTGTG